GTGAGGAGACAGAGGTGTGATCTCCACTGGTGTCCCAGAGATGGGGCTGGCCGGCTTCCATCCCACCCAGTGCAGGTCTCGGTGCTCCCTGACTCCACTGGGCTGTCTCCCTCCCCTCTGCCAGTCTGCCCTGAGCACCCGCCCATGGGGGTTGTGGCACACGGTGGGGTGAGAACCATGGTAGGGTCCCATTTGGGTCATTTCTAGGTTATTTCCCAAGGACAAGGAGAAAGAGGGCTGTCTGTGACCCCAACTCAGGCAGAGAAAGCCAGGCACCCTAGGTGAGGTACTATACAGGTTGGGACTTCATTATGGGGGAGCCTGTCAAGGATGAGCTAAGTCAGCTATGGAAATCTTGACCACCTCTTTTGAAACAGGGATGAAGTTTCTCATCCAGTCTCTAAAAATGAAGCTGGGCATGGTGAAGCTTAGCGGTAAGGGCATTTGCTTAGGAAGGGAAAGGCCCTGAATCTGGTGTACAGGGCATTCTCTCTCTCTCTCTCTCTCTCTCTCTCTCTTTCTTTTTTTTTCTTCCCTTCTTTGAGACAGGGCCTCAGTAAGTTTCCTGGGCTCATTTTGAACTCAGAATGCTCCAGCCTCAGGTATCCAAGTACCTGGAACTATAGTCATAGAACAGTTTTGCTCAAAACCCTCCCAAAAGAACCAAATCTCCATTAATGAAAAGAAAACAAAGATGGTCTTGGACCATTCATGCAACTCTGAAGAATGATGGAAACAGGAACGTGGGTGGCTCTCAGAGAAAGTCGTGGAGTGGGTGAAAAGACGGCGTACTGCATGATCCCATGTCTGTGAAGCTTAGAAAGAGGCCGAGAGACTCGGGTGACAGGAATCCCAGCAGTTGCCTAGGGGGACTGGCTGGTAGAAGCAGGATTCCCAGGGGAACTCGTTATCTGATTGTGGATGGCCTGAATTTTATGTAATGAGCATGGGAAACTTCTGTGGATGGCAGATATATGGAGGGCACAGCGCAAGGTGCAGAGGAACTGCTGTGTGGCCTTGGGAATGTCACCAGCCTTCTCTGAGCCTCGCTCTCCTGAGCCAGCACTGTGCATGCAAATGCAGGGACAGATGTGGCGGTCTGGCCAAGTGGTCGGTGCTGCTGTCATCTCACTCGGCCCCGGAAGCCCCTTAAAGATGAGCATCTCTGGGGCTGGAGAAGTGGCTTGGCGATTAAAAGCACTGACTGCTTTTCCAGAGGACCTGGTTCAATTTACCAGGAAGTGACCCCGAGGTCAGTGGTGAGGAAGTGTCACCCTCAAGGTCACACGGCTGGCAGGGACAGAGCGGGACCAAGGTCGGTCTCTCGTGCCCTCAGATCTGGTCCCCATAGCTCATTGCTGCCCCTGCCCTCAGCTATCTGAGGCCTTGGGAAGAAAAACTCCTGGGCTGGGAAAGGGGTTGATGCATGTGCAGATGGCTCTATGTGGTCCTGCTGGGCTCTGCCTGCTGGTGATGGTTGTGCCTCAGTTTCCCCATCCAGAACAGAGCTGCCTGCCTGTTCATAGACAGGAGCAGGCAGGGCTGTCGTCCTTCCCGCCTCCTTTCACCCTTGGGAAGGACAGGAGCCTGAGGCTACCCCGCCCAGGAATGGAGCTGTGAGGCCAGCAGGTGCCAAAGAAACAGAAGTAAGGATCAGGGCTGGGAGGCATCTCGTTTTTCTGATGCTATCACAGCAGACACCGACAGAAACAGAGGCCCACAGAAGGGAGGACGCATGGCAGAAACCAGCAGGGACTGAGGGTGGATCGGGAGGGGACAAGAGTGGGGTCCAGGCTGAGAGTACCAACTTAGCTTGGGGCTCTCCCTTCTCCGAGCACAGGGACACCAGGGACAGGAGTCTGCTGTCACACTGCTCCACAGGGTCACAACCATTGCCACCCTGGGATGCTGGTTCCAGAACCCTGATCTTCAGGCTCAGACCTGGGCTTGCCAACAGAAGGCATCAGTACGTGTGTGATACATGGGGCCTGGTACTCAGCAGGTAAGCAATCATTCTAAGATGAGCATAATGGCGCACACCTTTAATGCCAGGACTGAGGAGGCAGAGGCAGGCAGAGCTCTGTCAATTGAAGGCCAGCCTGGTCTACATAGGGAATTCCAGAACAGCCACAGCTACATAGTGAGACTCTGTCTCAAATAAACAAACAAGATCACTCTAGCTGGGAGAGTTTACTGCCGTGCCCAGTGTAGGTCACTCACAGTGAGTCTGCACTCAGCAAGGACCTGCTGTTAATTCCACAGATCCTACAGGCAGTTGTTGGTGGGGGAAACAGGATTTAGAAACCATCACCATGGGTGTGGCCTAAATACTGTGTGTCCCTGGCCCTGCTACTTATCCTCTCTGGGACCATGAAACTGGATGGCAAAACAGGTCCTTGTGCTGTTGCCCCAATCAAATGAGAAATAGGAGGATGTAAAGGTCAAAGGATAACTTTTCTTTGAAACACAGGACACACAACCTTTGGTTGGCTTTTAGAATCTATTTCCAGGTTTCAGTATGCATGAGACACAGACACACAGGGTTGATTTCTCTCCTTCCCTTCCCTCTCTCCCCCTCCCTCCTTCCCATCTCTCCTCTCCTGTCTCCCACTGTCTTTCTTTCACTAGAGCCTGTGGTTACTATGATGCTCTGGATGGCTTTAACTGCGATTTAGCCCAGGCTGGCCTGGGAGCTGTGGCAGTCCTCCTGCCCCAGCCTCCTGAGTGTTAAGTTAGAGCTATAATGCACCACACTCAGCCACACAGATTTTCTTGCTTTCTTTGCACAGCTGAGCTGCAACTGGAAGGGCTGGGGGTCGGCAGCGGCCTGGCTCCTGATCACCCTGGGGGTCGGCAGTGGCCCAGTTCACACTCTAAGTGAAGGGGGGCTGCTTTTCCGCTCCTGTTCACCTGTCAGTCAGTCATACAACCTTGAGGACAGGTCACTAGGGGTCACATTTATTCATTTACTTTTCAGACAAGGTCTCACTATACAGCCCTGGCTGGATGGCCTGAAACTCATAGAGATCCTCCTGCCTCCGCCTCTGGGGTGCTGGAATGAAAGTTGTGTGTTATCATGCCTGGCCAAGGAGTCCCATTTAAAGGGACAGGTGTTAGACAAGGGACTTCCCTAAAGTTGCGCAGCAGCAGCAGGTCCTGCTCTATTCACAGCAACAGTTCCCTCCAGAGCTGTTCGTGTTTTGATCAGAGGATGGGGGTGGGGTACAGAACACAGGCTGGGTGGTGATTCATTCCGATCGGCAGCTTCTCTGGGGACATTCTTGGGCAACTCTATCCTTAGTTCTTAGTCCTAAGCCCTGGGTCAGCCTGTCCTAAGGATGGAGAGGCAGTTACAGCCCCACATACGGTCCATCCTAAATTCCCACCCTGCCCTCTAAGCAGAAAGGCTGTATCTGGAGCCCATTGGCTGCAGTGCCTCCTTAGAGCTGGGCTATTGGCTAAATAGCTGCCTTCCTACCTCTGCCACCACCAGCTCTGGGTGGGAAAGAGGTTTGGGTGTCTTTTCTTCCTGCCTTCCGGCAGGAAAACAAGTGCCTGAGGACACACACCCTGCTGTCCAGTCCCCTGTGTTCCTCTGCCCATCCTATCAAAAGCTCTCCCCATCTTGGAGGGAATATCGCCAACATGAGCACTGAACGCTGAACTCTTTCAAGGCAGTCACTGCCTCTCTGGGTCTCCAAGCCCATCCCTGGACAATGGGAGTAGAGACTGTAGCTATTTACCTGGACAAGCTCTGCTGCCATGCCGGTGTGTGTGCGTGTGTGTGTGGTGACCTTGGAGGTTATTCAGACCCACCCAGGCCTTGTGTCTGCCTAGGCCCCCACCCACCACAAACATCAGCAAAGCAGGTGGGGACCCGACCAGCTGTGATGAAAAGGTATTCTGGAAAAGTACCTTTCAGACTATTAGAGTTCGGGGCTGGAGAGATAGAGGCTCAGTAGTTAAGGGCACCTGCTGCTCAGGACTTTCTATAATCTTTCACTCCAGTCCCAGAGGCTCTGACACTCTCTCCTGCCCCCATGAGGCACTGCATGCACTTGGTACACATGCATACACAAAGGCAAAACCTCATATGCATAGAAGAAAAATATTTTTAAAAGGCGGGCATGTAGCTGGGGAGATGGCTCAGGAGTTAAGACCACTGATTGCTGCTCTTTCAGAGGACCTGTATTTGATTTTTCAACACGCACACAGCTGTCCATAACTGTCTGTAACTCCAGTTCCAGAGGATCTGATGACCTCTTCTGACCCCTTCCAGCACCAGGCAAAAATGTGGTACATAGACATAGATGTAGCCAAAACACTCATACACGTAAATTAACAAACAAAAGACTGGTGGCCCTGAGGTCTTGAGATACATGGAAAAAGGAAGAGCCACACTTTGGGAGAATAGACCCACAGCTGCCTCTTGAATCGTTCACTGGCCTGAACACTCACCCTGTGCCAGACCAAGGTCCAGAAGATATTCGGGCCCAGTACCACAAAACTACAGTCACGGTCTGAGTCTGTCCACTCCACCTCCTGACAGTGCACCCCACCCACCCGCTTCCTGCTACACGGAAAGAACCTGCCGTCAGGGCGTGTGGGTCAGCTCTGGTCACTCTGATGATATGACCACAGGTTTCCACACTGAACTTTGTCCCTCTCTTCTGGACTGCGTTTATCACAGGACAGTACCATAGCCCTCTGTTTACTCATCAGCATTCCCAGGACCAGCTGTCTTCCTGGGCCTAGGGGACCTGGGCATCACCAGATTCCCACTCCTGCCCGCCTTGGTGGGCAAACACCCTGGGAACCTGCGATGGCCCTCAGACCTTCCAGCCCTGATCCCTACAGTCGCCTACAGCCCAGTGGTGCTGTTGCACCTTGACTCTCTGTCCCAGGGGGCCTTGCACTACCAGAGAGCATCATCCCCAGATAGGCGGTCATGCCCACTCCTCATGGAAACTGCTGTCATGAGGGGCCCTCCACGAACTCACCCATATTGACGAAGCTCATGACCAGGTCGGCGCGACCCAAGTGAGGTTGTGGGGGCCCGCCGTCGTCGTCATCGGCCATGGCGTGATACAGGTCCAGCATGAAGAGGGGCGCGGACGCTGGCTGCCGGGAGGCGGCGGGTGGTACACGGGGTCGGGGCCGCCCAGGCAGCCCGAGCACCGCCAGGATCTCTCGCTGCATGTCTCGGCGCTCGCGCGCTCCTAGGCGACGCTGGGGACAGGTGTGTGGGGGACGCGGGCCGTGGCCACCGCCCAGGGCGCACAGAGCCAGGCCCAGCAACCAGAGCGGCCCGGGTCGCACGGCCATCTCGGACGCTCAGCGTACGCGCATCCACTCGCGGCCGGCAGTGCCCGGGAGCGACACCCCGACGGCAAGGACCGGACGGTGCAGCGGATCCCCTGAGTTCGCACCTGTCGCGGGAGTTCTGCGGCGGTCGCGCAGCACGCGCTCGGCAGCCGGTCACTAAGCCCGTAGGTCCCGCAGAGCAACTTGGGCTCCCGAAGCGCGGACCCTCGAGTGTCCGGAGCTGGACCTCCCGTGGCCTCACGGACCGGAGAGAGCTTCCTCGGCCCCGCCCCTGCCCGGGCCAACCAATGGGGCCTCGGAGGCGTGTCCGAGCCCGGGCAGACTCCAGCCGGGTGTCTCTGCAACAACTGCGGTGCAGTGGTGGGAGAGCCTGGTGCGATCCCGAGGTAAGTAGTGGGCGGGCTGGGGAGAGGCCTTCAAGGGTGTCCTGGGTCCCCATCCAGCTTCCGCGGCGCACGCCGGGCTCCGTGCGGAGACGTCGGGGTCTCTGAAGCAGGCACCTGCGCCCTGGGCAGGCGAGATCCCGAGTTCCCGGGCAGCCGTGGGACCCGCCGGGTCGCCCTTCTCCTCCACACAGCGACGTAGACGGAGCCCAGACACATAGTTCCGGCCGTCTGGGCTGGGCTGGTGCCAGCCGTATCGGGAAGGTGGGGCACATTCCATTGCCCTCAGCTGCCAGGGCCCAGTTCCCGCTACTCCTCGAGTACCAGGCTCCTTCTCCACCCGGCGGATCCCGTTGATGATCCCACATGGATGGCCTCTGGAGCCTCCCAAAGGGGACACACCTTTGCTTAGCTCCTCATTTGTGACAGCCGCCAGCTGCTTGCAAGAAAGGAACCCCAGGAAAACTTTCTGACTTACACCGCTTTCTGCACTCGGGCCTCTCCTGACTGCTGCCACAGCGTTGCCTCTAGGTCGTAAAGGCTCCAAAGCGGCTCAAGTGTCACTGAAAGGAATTGACCAGGAAGGACGGAAGTCAGTGGGAGGAAAGTGCCCTGCAAAGGGAATGACTGTGTCAAGGCTGGGAGTGTCATAATGGCAGGTAGCAGCGCTTCCAGGCCTATTCTTAGTGTTCACACACCATTACGGAGCACACAGTGGTCTGTCTTTCCTTCCTTCCTTCCTTCCTTCCTTCCTTCTTTCATTTCTCTCTCCCTCCCTCCCTCCCTTCTTTCTTCCTCCCTTCCTCCCCCTCCCCCCCCCCCCCCCCGTAGGTTCTCACTATGTAGCCTTGGCTGACCTGGAACTTGCCCTGTAGTCCAGTCTGGCCTCAAACTCAGAGATATGCCTGCCTATGCCTGCCTCTGGGATTAAGACATGCGCTGCTGCGCCCCCGCAGAACCTTTCTTTTTTACAGATGGGGAAACTGAGGCACACAGAGGTTAAGTGCCTTACCTCTGGTCGCACAACAGAGAAACTGAAGACCAGAAGAGGGGCTCCAGGGGAGAGACCATAAAGAGCCCTGCAGGCGGTGGGTGCTACCTGTGGATTTGGGCCAGTTATAAATTCTCCAGTGTGGATTCAAAATAAAAATCCAATTAACTGTATAATGGTCACCAAAATATGCTGAGGTGATCCTTTCAAAAGTTTGTTCTTAAATGTGTGTACTTCCTGTGTACAGTGTCCTCTCTTCTGAGGTCAGAAGAGGGCAGTGGATCCCCTGGAACTGGAGTTACAGCCTCTTGTGAGCCACCTGCTGCTCTGGGAACCGAACCCAGGTCCTCTGAGGAGCAGTCAAGTGTTTTTAACTGCCAAGCCATCTCTCCAGCCTTGTTTCAAGTTTCAAGAATCAGCTAAATTCTTCAAGTAATCATCCACAGTCTGTCTTTTACCCAACAGCTCAATTTCCATATTACTTCAAAGTCCCCATAAAGATAAAGAATGGCGGGGGGGAATCAGGAAGATCACTGCTCACTGCGAACTCAAGGCAGGAATCGTTTATGCGGTTCCAGAAGGCGAGGGCTGGCTTCACAGCTCCTCAGTCAGACCTCATCTCCAAACAAAAGCAAGCAGAACAAGGAAGAGGAGAGTGAGAATAGAAAGAAGGGAGAAAAGGGGAAAATGCTGGCCTTCTAAGGACGATGCTGCCAAGTAGCCTTTGAAACTGCCCACACTGAGGTTAGAACTAGAATGTTGAGGGGCGTGTGGGTGGCAGGGAGACAAGACAGGGGCTGAAGTTGGAGACAGATGTCGTAATAGAGGAGGGACTGACAATGGGTCTCTAATATGACAGGGTGAAGTGAGAGGCTGAATCCATAGGGCTTGGCGACTGGAGAAGGCAGTGAGATGTTCTCCATATTATTTTTGTTCAGGAGCTTGAGTCTCCTACCCACAGTTCCCCCCTGGTCCCCTCTCAACTCTGGGTGCCCTATGCACCAAACGCCACACCATACCACCAAGAACCTTCCACCCACCTGTAAGTCTCAGCTTGCATTCATTCTAGGCAAGGCTAGACTGCCAGGCTACTTACTACACACAGCCCAGCCTGGAACTGGTTCTTGGGTGGGCGGGTGGGGGGTCATTTATCTCAGCTTAGGAGCTAGCTACCTACTTCTTGTAAACTGAAACAGGGTTTAGCCAGTCACCCAACAGCCTCCACTAAAAATTCTGTTTAACAGTCATGGTGGGCTGCTCTACTGGGCCCTGACCCAAGACTCCACCTTTGAGTAGTTCCCACTATATATAGCAGGGCTGACCATCTGTGAACATGGTAATTTCAAAGGCAGAATAAAAGCTGTTCCTCCTCCAGAGGCTGGTGACAGTTCTGAAAGGGTAGAGCCCGGGATGCTGGGAAGAGAAGGGTTCCTCAGTGGAACCCCAGAACAGCAGAAAGTCTAAGGTGGCTCGTTTCTTAGAGAAAGTAGTGTCAAAGTGTGGGCTTTCTGGCTCACCTGCCGACTGTGATTTTGCTAAGATACTCAACTTTATCCTTAGGGGGGATTCAAGATCATAGAATTGGGATGTGTCGTGAGAACTATCTAGCGTAAAGTTCTCTGTAATGTATGGAATGCTGGCAAGCATCCCATAAACGTTAGCTGTCGATATAAAGCTTCAGCAGGCACAAAAATTGTATCATTTATGTCGAATGTGTGTGCAACATGCATGTGTGTAACGTGTGTGGTCAGAAAACAACTTGTGGGAATAGCTGGTCTTCTCTTACCATGTGGGCTCTGATTGAGCTCAGGTCTTTAGCCTTGGTGGAAAGCACCTTTGTTTGCTGAACCCTCTCACTGGCCATCAAACATGTATTTTTTTTTTTTTAAATCACATCTCAGAACTGTTATTATGGGGAAGAGGCTCGTGTAGAGGTTAGAGGATGATTTTGTGGAAGCTGTTTCCAACCTTTTTGTGGGTTCTGGGGATTAAAGGGAGTAGGTCTTCAGGCATGTGTGGCCAGCACCTTTCCTGCTGATCCACCTTGTCAACCTCTGCAGTATTTTAAGCCTCTTTCTTGTCTATTTCCCATGCCTTACACAGTTCCCTGTTTATCTCTCTCTCTCTCTCTCTCTCTCTCTCTCTCTCTCCCTCTCCCTCCCTCTCCCTCTCTCTCTCCCTCTCTCCCTCCCTTCCTCCCTCCCTCCCTCCCTCTCCCTCTCTCCAGGGTTTTTCTGTGCAGCCTTGGTTGTCCTGGAACTAGTGTTTTATACCAGGGTGGCCTGGAACTCACAGAAATCTGTCTGCCTTTGCTGGGATTGAAGGTATGCACCATCACCAGTTTCTGGTTTTGTTTTTAAGATTTAATTGTGTGCACGCACACATGAGTGCTTATGTCCTTAGAAGCTAAAGCATTGAATTCCTTATCCTATGTGGGTACTAGGAACGTAGCTCAAGACCTGCCAGAACAGTATATGCTCTTAAGTCCCGAGCCACCTCTCCAAGTACTCCCCACCCCACAGGCCAGCTGAGCTTCACTGAATACTTAGAACCTAAGTCTCCTGGAAAGATAGTAAGAGCAGACAGTCTACCCTGGAGGGAAAGATGCTGCTGGGCATCAGGAGGCAGAAGCCAATTAGGATGAAAACAATATCTTACACTAAATTCCAACAGTTTTTTCAGAAAAAGATTTTAAACTAAAAACAAATCTATTTAAATTATGTGTATGTAAAGCTGGTTGTAGCATATGACTTTAACCCCAGCACTTGGGAGGCAGAGGCAACGCAAGACCAGCATGGTCTACCTAGTGAGTTCCATGACAGCCAAGACTATATAGTAGGACCTTGTCTCAAAACCAAAATGAGAGCCAGGCGGTGGTGGCGCACGCCTTTAATTCCAGCACTCAGGAGGCAGAGGCAGGCGGATCTCTGTGAGTTTGAGGCCAGCCTGGTCTAGAAGAGCTAGTTCCAGGACAGGAACCAAAAGCTACGGAGAAACCCTGTCTTGAAAATCAAAAAAAAAAAAAAATAACAACAACAACAACAAAAAACCCAAAATGAATAGGTCTGTGTGTCACATGTAGGTATGTACACATGAGTGCAGATGCCTACAGAGGCAGCCTGATAAGGGTTCTGGGAACAAACCCAGGTTCTTTGGAAGAGTAATAAATGATCTTAGCTTCTCTTCAGCCCCAGAAGATTATGAGTACATGTAGCATGTGTGTATGTGCATGTTATGCAAGGAAACCAGAAGATTCCCTGCAGCTGGACTTACAGGTGTTTGTATGCCACTACATGGATGCTGAGAACTGAACGAAGTCTTCTCCAAGGGCAGCAAATGCTCTTAATGACTGAGCCAACTCTCCAAACCCAGGCCAACAGCTTTCAGGTCATCCAATTCCATGAAAGGAGTAAGTGTGGAACACATCAGGCTATGTATTTCCTTCAGTCTGAACATGTGACCTTATGTAGCTTTGGCAAACATGCATTTACAACTTTGCCAAATTCTAGAATTTAAGAGGGGCATGTGGCTTAAAGGGTAAGAACACAGATCTGAGTTTGAACCCCTCATTATTCAAGTCAGTAGCTGGTTGTAGTCATGCCAGGGCCAGCTAAGGACTGGAAGGAGCAGAGGCATCACACTAGCACAGGAGCCCAAGACTCGTCCCCAGAAGCATCCACCAGGCTTCACATCAGAGTCCTGAATACACTTGCTTCTCCATCTAGAAAACAAAGGGATTGGAATGGGCTGCCTTCCGGGACCGAGAGGAGACATCCAGTGGGTTCAACTTCACCTGACCCATCTTCCCCAATAATCAGGTAGTGTTTTC